CCGGGTCTACCTTGGAGATTATAGTTGACTTTAAGAAAAGAATGGCGGGAAAATTCGAGATGAGTGATTTAGGCAAGCTTACTTACTACCTTGGGATTGAGGTTATTCACGGAGAGGATGGAATCGTTTTAAAACAGGAGAGATATGCAAAGATGATACTTGAAGAAGCATGGATGAGTGAATGCAAGGCAGTACACATATCTATGACCGCCGGTTTGGAACTCTCTAAGGAGAGATATGCAAAGAAGATACTTGAAGAAGCCGGGATGAGTGAATGCAAGGCAGTACACATACCTATGACCGCCGGTTTGGAACTCTCTAAGGCACAAGATGAGAAGATTGTCAATGGACAAGATTATAGAAGAGTTGTTGGTTGCCTTAGATATTTACTCCACACTAGACCAGATCTTTCTTATTGTGTTGGGATTTTGAGTAGATATCTAGAAGAACCAAAAGAGTCACATGGGGCTGCGCTAAAACAAATTTTAAGGTATCTTCAAGGAACTCTCTCTCACGGTCTCTACTTTAAGAATGAAGCGGGAACAGGACTGGTAGTCTATAGTGATAGTAGCCATAGTGTAGACGTTGATGATGGTAAGAGTACCGCAGGCCATGTCTTCTACCTTAATGAGTGTCCAATTACATGGTGTTCCCAAAAGCAACAAGTAGTTGCACTCTCTTCATGTGAGGCTGAGTTTATGGCGGCTACGGAGGCAGCCAAGCAAGCCATTTGGCTCCAAGAGTTGCTTGCTGAAGTCATTGGAGCGGCATGTGAAAGAGTAACCATACGAGTTGATAACAAGTCAGCAATTGCACTCACTAAAAACCCGGTGTTTCATGGTAGAAGTAAGCATATCCACCGGAAGTATCATTTTATACGCGAGTGCGTTGAGAATGGTCAAATTGAAGTTGAACATGTTCCTGGCGAAGAACAGAAAGCGGACATATTGACTAAGGCGCTTGGAAGAGTCAAGTTTGGAGAGATGAGAAAGCTCATTGGAGTTCAAGGTGTGCCAAGAGAAAACTTCAAGCTTAAAGGGGAGAATGTTGGAGTAAGCTTGAAGGTTAAGTAACTTGAGCAATAAGTTACTTAATAAAAGGAAGATTAGCTTAAATATTCTAGGAGTTATCTAGAATATTCTAGAAGTTGTAAGTCCTAATTGAGTTAGGATTAGGTCTTGAGAGTTTTATATAAATAGAGGTACCAAGGTGTGGTAACCCCATGAGTTGTGAGAGATTTGAGATTGAGAGATATTGTGTGCTTTAGTTTTTGAGTTAGTTTTCTAAAGCTTAATAAGAGAGTAATTCTTAAACTTTGTCTTCTTAATCTTTCTCTTTCGATTCTAGAATAATGGCAATTAAATTCATTCATTCGTAATAATTTTTAACTCTTCCTAATATTTTTAAAACTTTTATTTTTGAATATATATATATATATATATATATATATATATTTAAATGTATGTATTGTGAATGTGGTAGAAATATCATGTTTCCTGTAAGTTACCATCGAAAAAACGTTTACACCTAAAGATTCTCAATTGTGTAAAAACAAACCTAAATTTCATAAAACAAAAAGAATAGTATGAGGCAGGAAAAGAATGTTTGTTAGGATTAAGTGATTAACAGAATCTAATTTTAAAAGGTTAGCTAATAACTATACTCTAATTAGTAACACAAGACACTAAGCAAATATAAAGAGTGAAGATCTTGCGGTGGTGGAACGAGCGATGATTACAAGAGAATGATTTTCCACCTCGAAATAGGCCAGTTTTTATTTCCAGCCTTTGCTTTGTTCGTACGTTACAATTTTCATGGGCAATAAAATAGATTTTAAAATTTTAACAATCAATAGACATTTGGAGAAATTTTTTTTTTTTTTTTTCTGTTAAAGAATTTGTTTTATTTAATATTTCAACGAATTGGGTCCCCAAAGAACACCAGCACACAAGACAGCTTTACTCCACTTCTTTTTTGTAGGAAAAAAGGTCTACTTGAAAAGAAAAAAAATACGCATTATCTTTTTATTATTATACCAACATCATCATCAAATATTATTTTAACTTTAGTTTTATTTATTATATCACATTCCTTAGGATTCTGTTCTGTAAAAGTCACATGATCCAACTTTCATTTTGATCTTTTGCTTCCTCTGTTGGCAATCATTATCATCGTGAGGAACTGTTTTTTTTTTTTTTTTGTGCTTTCAATATTTTTTTACAAGCATGCTCACAAAGTTACAGTGGACACGCAGAAAAGAGTTTTATGTAAATAGAGTATTATTCTTCTAAAATTCGTGACACATTTACATTCCCGATACCATTATCTTATACATGTTCTATTATTAGTTTCGATTTATTTCATCTCAAACTACTTTTTAATAAATTTCTACTTAAAAAATACTCAGTATTTGGTAGATGACGAAATTAAAAGTAGAGGAATAGGGCCTGTGATTATAAACTAGAAGGCAGAAGTGATGGAGTTGGGCCATTCTCTTGTCATTATGTTTCTAACTAAACCCCTCTTGTAATTAATTACTCAACTACTAATATTTGTCTCTCCTTTATTAGATAATACTATTATGTCTTAATCATTTTTATGGATTTTTCTTGTTTTCAAAACTCAAAACCAAAAGAAGAACGAAGAATATTTCAAATTCATTGGCATGTTCATGGCCATTTATTCGATTTTTATATGATTATTGGGAAACATATCAATAGAATAATTCTCATAATGAATTTAATTACTTTGGGGTATTAAAGGAAATATGGTGTACAAGTAAAATATTTTATCAACAATACAAAAGTTAAAGAAGCGAAGTCTTTTTTTGGATGTGGCAGGCCGCCTAAATTCAACGTTCTATTTTGATTATTAGTTTTTAGCTATAATGATCATTACATATTCAATTTACCTTTAATCAAATCCTGTCTTTGAAAAATACTGAGTGATCAGAGAGATAGAGGGAGAAGGATTTAATTCTTCTTACTGAAAAAAAAAACAAAGATTAAATTCTTGTCTTTTTCTCATGTTATAATCATGGTGGTTAAATGCATTTATATATAGTAGTAATTAATCAATTAATTGCTATTCAAAATTTGATTAATGACAGATGTTTAACCTAATTAAACCATGATTATATCAAAACCGACATTACTATGTGACTGGTTCGAACCAGTTGCATTACAGCATTAGCATCATCGGTTCAAGCCTCCAAGCACTATACGTATAATAAAAACATATTCGGTTGATCGTATAACTTTTCTTGTTTGTTAACGATGGGATTTCGGACTTTTTCTTTTATCTATAGAAACATTATCTTAAACATGAATCCAGCTCTTACTAGTACATAGAAATGTAAAAATTTATTTTCAGGCGAACTTTTTTTACAGTCTAAGTAAAATTTCACAAAGTAAATAAATAACCAAATTAAGAAAAAATATATGCGGGGAATCAGAAAAATTAATACCGGACATGTGCGTGTGACCTCGTCCGCTCATACGTTGCAATTCCTCATAAGACAAAGAACAAAGAGAAACAGAGATGAGAAGTTAATTGTATTGCACATTTTTAGTTATTGAAACCGAAACAAAGGCTATACATACACTAAATGTACGTTCCACTACAACCACTCATAGTCCATGTCTCCATGTCCGAACCATCCTTCCTAGTGTCGTTTATAATTCAACAATTTATTTAGGAAAAAATTGTTTATAAAATAAAAATATCAACCAATTTGGACAACGAACAACTTTACCTGATTAAAGAAAAATATATAGTATCTTTAATTTTTGCATAAAAAAAAAAAGATAGTATCTTTGATTTGTGGATTTATTTTTCTTTTTATTTCCATGTTTTGTTATACAGATTCATCTTCTTGCACACCAAATATTGCAAAGGCAACTTAGGTGGTCCAATTCTCAGAATGAACCATATATGTACCTTCAAACTTTGCTGAGAACAAATTATGAAGAGAAAAGACCCACAAATTCATCATATATATAAATCTTGTTTTGTTTTGTATGAATTGGCACTATTCTGCAGTAGATTGTGCCTTTTACATCCATTCATGCTACCCTCTCGTTCTATCAATTTTTTTCCTTACGATCTTTTATACTGTAAACAAAAAAAAAGTAACATGGAGGAAGATAGTTCAAATGGGTCCTCTATGATTTATCTTTTATTTCTATGTAATGATAAGAATAACATACAAATCATACAAATAAGTGCGTGAAAAAGAGAAAATGAGCTAGAGAGAATGATGAGAAGGTATGGAGAGGTATGTACTGTACTGTAGACTGCACACACTTTTGAAGTGCACGTTTGTGTTGTGTCGCTGTCCTTCACCAAACACCGTTTCAACCTAACCAAAAACCATATTAATCGGTTATCACGTGATTAACCAACGGTTTTGTTTTTGTAACTGAATCACGTGACAACTTCTTGTCTCCATCAGAAACGGCGAAACGTACCGGTTATTTTCAGCCGCAGGTGACTGACTAGTTGGGTCTCAAATTTTGGATGGTGAAAGCCCAGCCCACCAAGTGATTCTCAATAATCCTCTATAGTAGACCTTTACCGAATTACCCATAGCTATTCCAGTAGTAGACACTTCTTTGGTGTGCCTATATAAAGCCTAGCCCAATTTTGTTTTATATCTTCTTGTTTAAAAACTCTTGTGAAAAGAACATATTACAGTACAAAAGAAAAGAAAAAAAAAAAAAAAAAACTAACATTTCATGCAACAGGTAAAAGCAGAATTTAATCACACATGCTACAATTATAATGATTATAGACTAAAAGCAAATAGTAGACACTTCTTTGGTGTGCCTATATAAAGCCTAGCCCAATTTTGTTTTTGTTTTTTTTTTTTTTTTTTTTGTCAACCTTAAATTTCATTAAAGAAAATAGAGTTTACACAGCCATAGACTACAATTTATGCCTTACAACTATAGAACCCATGAGATAACATATGGAGAATCATTAATACGTGCTTCTCTGGCTAAGGTATCAGCTAAAACATTAGCTGCTCTATTAATGAAACGGAATTGGTAAGAAACATGGGCCAACTTTGAAATATCCTGCAGATAAGCTTGAATTTCGCTTGGTCCCCTGATCTGAAGCTTCTTATGCATATTGCCTTCCAGATATCCATATAAAGAGTAAGAGTCTCCACAAAATGTGACATTCTGGTAGTTGAGCCGCTTCAGATGAATCAAAGCTTCTCTAAGCGCAAGAGCTTCTGCTTCAAGGACTGATTGAGTTGGTTCTAAAGATGCACTTCCTTGGAGTATATATCGGCCAAGCGAGTCATGTAGCATCCACCCAACACCAATTTTACTATCTTGATTTATCCAAGAGGCATCTGTACAACATCAAAGAGAAGGGACATGAGAAAGCACCTCTTGAAATGTTTTCGGCGCTGACTTATTAACTTGCATAGACTGCAGCCTAAGAGGGGCAATGTTTTGTTGGGATTCTGTCCACAGACGAAGATCAACAATAGCTTGATGTATAATATGCGGGATTGCCACTCTCCTATTATTGTAAAGCATGTCATTTCTGGCCTTCCATATGCGCCATCCAATAAAAGAGAAGAGATGACTGGTATTGGCTTGATGCTTGGCATTAGATAAAAGGGTTTGGACATGGTCTAATAGAGAATGATCATTAGTGAACTGACCTGCAACAATGTGAACCGGCGATAACTCCCAAATTTCTTTTGCCACACGACATTGGAAAAAGATATGAGAAACAGACTCTCTTGCTTCGCCGCAGAATAAGCATTCTTGTGAGACCCGTAAATGCCTGTGAGCCAAAGTCTCTGCAACTGGAAGGGCATTATGAAGAAGTCGCCACCAGAAATGTTTAATTTATGGTGGGACATTAAGGGCCCATATGGATTTACAAAGTTGATTTATGCGTAAAGGAGCATTGGAATTTACAGAGGAGGGTTTAGTGAGTTGATGGTAACCTGATTTAACTGAGTAGTGACCATCCTTTGTGTAGATCCAGGTGGGAGTGTCAGGGGATTGAACCAGATTTGGACGAATCTTCTTAATCAAATGAATATCTTCTGGGTGAATTAACTGATGTAGTTTCCTATCATCCCAGGTGTTTGATTTGGCCAGCATTAGATCTGAAGCACGAAGTTACCCTCCTGATGCATTGCTGGCAGGCCGAGCAGGTCTAGGAGGAGTGTCTAGCCATTGGTCAGACCATATTTCTACAGTAGCACCATCACCAATTCTCCATCGAAGACCTTGCTTAATAAGCTGAGTACCCTGATAGATACTTCTCCAAGCATGGCTCGGTCGATGGCCTATTTTTGCATTCATAAGATTAGACTTAGAGTAATATTTAGCTTTAATTACTCTGCTTAATAAAGAATGCGGCTCCTTCAGTATGCGCCAACTTTGCTTAGCAAGCAATGCAATGTTGAATTTAAATAGATCCCTGAACCCCATACCTCCATGTTGCTTTAATTTAGTCATTTGATTCCAGCTAACCCAAGGGATTTTACTCTTGTCCTTTGAGCTTGACCACCAATATCGCCGAATTAGAGCTGAAAGTTGATTAACAAGTTTCTTAGGTAGCAAAAAACAAGACATACTATAGGTAGGAAGAGCAGTAGCCACTGATTTAATAAGTACTTCTTTCCCTGCCTGAGATAAGAATTTCGAGTACCAACTTTCTAGCTTATTTTTCACTCTTTGAATGATATAGGAGAAAGCATTGTACTTATTTCTGCCTACTGCCTCAGGCAGCCCCAAATAACGCCCAAAACCTCCAACTTTTTTTATTCCTGTTAAGTTTATGATACTCTGTTGAACCTCAGGGGGGACAGTCTTACCAAACACTATTGCAGATTTTTGAAAATTGACATGTTGACCCGAGCCTGCAGCATAACTTTGAAGAATTTGGAGTAGATGTTGACACTGATGCTCTGCAGCTTGACAAAAAATAAGGGAATCATCAGCAAAGAACATATGAGAAATTGGAGGACCGCCCCTGCTAGCTTTAAAGCCTTGAATAGACTTGGTGTCCATGGCATAGTTAAGGAGAGAAGAGAGTCCCTCTGTACAAAGAAGATATAAGTAAGGCGAAATTGGATCACCTTTCCTTAAGCCTCTCTGGGGGTGAATCTTTTTTGTAGGAGAACCATTAACTAGAACAGAATACGTCACGGAGGAGACACATCTCATTACCCACTGACACCATTGCTCTGCAAAACCAAAATGCCTTAATAAAGCTGTCAAGAAATTCCATTCAACTTTATCAAAAGCTTTTGCAATATCCAATTTTAAAGCCATAAATGGAGTTTTCATCTTTTTAGTAGTAAGAGAATGCAGAAGCTCATGAGCTATGATAACATTGTCAGTTATTAAACGCCCTGGAATGAAGGCAGATTGACATTCTGAGATTATAGAATGTAACCATGGCTTCAGTCTATCTGCCAAGATCTTAGATATTAGCTTATATGCTACATTGCATAAGCTAATTGGTCGAAAATCTTTGACCTGGGTTGGGGACTCAACTTTTGGTACTAGGCAGATGTAAGTGTGATTAATATTAGGATCTAAATAGCCAGTTTGAAAGAAAGCTTTAATGAAATTAATCACACATGATTTGATGGCATCCTAATGATATCGATAAAAGCCCACATTGAATCCATCAGGACCTGGCGTTTTGTCAACATTCATATGCGATAAAGCTTGGAATATCTCCTCATCTGTTACAGGCTCCGTCAGTCTACTATTAATCTCTGGCGTGACTCTAGGCTGTATATGTTGAAGTACAGAGTCAAGATGATGCACGCCTGCTGAGGAATATAATTGTTCAAAATAATTGCAAATAATCTCCTGAATCTCCTTCTCATCGATTATGATATTGCCACTACCATCTTCAATAGAAGTTATTCGATTATGTGATCTCCGCTGCTTTGTTCTTTCATGGAAGTAGCGCGTATTCTTATCCCCCAGCTGCAGCCATTGAATATGACTTTTCGTACGCCAATACTCTTCTTCAAGCTGATATTCATGTTGGAGTTTTAACTTGAGCTCAGCAATGTAATTGTTATCCAGAAGAGGAGAATCGTAAGCCTGTTGCAACGCCTGTTGAAGTTGCTGGATTTTCTTTTGGGAATTATGATTATTCTCTGCCTTCCATTGTGTCAGCCCGCTTCTGCATCTCCTTAGAGCTTCATTGAATTCCTGAGGTGAAAGGTGATTACACTTGTTTTGCCAAATGTTCTGGACAACTTGATGCACCTCCGGGTTATATCTCCATCTGTTATCATATCTAAAGAGTTTTTTACCTTTCCATTTCCGATCTTCTGTTTGTAAAAGCAAAGGTCTGTGATCAGAACCACACCAATTAAGCAGCTGGACAAAAGCTTTTGGGTATAGTTCGTGCCAGTCTACAGTAGCTACTGCTCTATCCAGCTTAGATTTAATTGTGCCACATGACCTGTTACCAATCCAAGTAAAAGAACCTCCAAATGTTCTGATTTCATGAAGTCCAGAGATGTTTAACATTCTTTGAAAGTTAACAAGCTGCCAATCCGGTCTATTTGCCCTCCAACCTTCTCATCATTGCTCTTGATCTCGTTAAAGTCTCCAATTACAACTCTAGGCTTGCCTTGATAGAGGCCTGCTTGAACAAGTTCCTATATTTGTTGCCACAATTGCTGCCTAGGTTTTCTCTCAGGGTTTCCATAGATATAAGTCATAAAAAAGGTGGCTGATCCTTCCGTTATGTACATATCAGTACAATGAAGTGATGGAGTCTGAAGGAAATCACATTTCACTGTATCACGCCAAAAAATTGCTAAACCGCCACGAGTCCCATCTGGAGAGACCAAAAATTGATGGGTAAACTGAAGATCTTTGCCTAATTGATATACATAATCATCTTTATTCTTCGTTTCCACGAGGAACAGAATATCAATCCTGTGCTTCCGATTGATATCCTTTAAATATGGAATTGTCAGGGGGTTCCTCAAACCCTGACAATTCCAATGTAGTATCTTCATTCCGGCAGTGGTGGCTTCGGGGTGTCCACCTCCCCTTTAGCCGGTGTTGCTGAAGACTGACCTTGAATTTTCCTTCGAGTAGTTGAGACCTCACCCTCCTCATTTACAGCATCTCCTTTACGCTTAGTCCCTCTATCTGGGGCTGGTACTGAAACTGAACCAATCTCTCGAATTACAAAAGTTGCATTGATTTTATCCTGCAAGTCCCCTGAATTGAGAGTATCCATAAATTCTCCTTGAGCTTCATTAAAATTCTGATTATCAGAAGTATCCATGTTGATGTTAGAACCCACTGTCTCCCCCATAGTATCATCAGCTACTTCTATAGGAGAATGAGGTATATTCTCCATCTGATTCAGATTACTTGGAGGGGGGTCCTGATTTGGCCTCTGAGGTGGAGCAGGAAGCTGAAGCTGCTCAGTTCCTTGGGCTTGAAAGGTACAAGTTGCTGCAAGATGAGTGAGGCTACCACAAGCTGAACAGAATTTTCTAAGCTTATCATAGATGAAACGAATTAGTACTGGAGCCTCAGAATCAGGAATGCTGAAATAGCGAGCAAAGATCAAACGCACATCAATATCAATTGGTATCCTAATCCAAACCTCACCCGCATGATCAGCAATAGGCTGCTGGATATGAATATCCTCAACATGACCTAGAACACCTCCAATCTCCCTGATTGACCTGTCCTCCTTAGAATCATCTGGGATGTTGAGGACCTTAATCCAAAAACGGATAATTCGGAGGTAGTCAGGTGAGTTTCTTCGCGTCCATTGATCCACCACCACTAACCAATCTTTATATGTCCAGGGGCCATTATCAAGAATTGTGAGCATCTGATGCTCTTGCGCGAAGAAGAATTGAACTGTCCCATCCTCATTGATTCGGCTAGTAACTCTCCCTTCAAGCTTCCATATTTTCGGCATCATAATCTTGATTCCGGCTGGGTTTTGCGATGAGTGCAGGCCTTTAACGACGAGACTGAGACGGTGAGCAGCATCCCTCTTCCGATTGGCTTCGATTGAGAGCTTTACAGGGCTACGCTCTAATCCAAGGTTGAGGTTTTGGAGTGAAATCCAGAGATCCTTATCTGCCATAACGAAGAAACAAGAAGATCCGATGAATCGGAAGACAAATCCGCCGTCGACGGAAAGCAAATCGCCGATTAGAAGAACCGGTGAAGAGAAAATTGGAAATCGCCTGCCCAATTTTGTTTTATATCTTCTTGTTTAAAAACTCTTGTGAAAAGAACATATTACCGTACAAAAGAAAAGAAAAAAAAAAAAAAAAAAAAACTAACATTTCATGCAACAGGTAAAAACAGAATTTAATCACACATGCTACAATTATAATGATTATAGACTAAAAGCAAATAGTTATTTTATAAGGTTTTCATTCACACAAATGTGCTGCGTGGAGGTAACTCACTTGAACCGATCGAAGAAAAAGTAATTGAATATGAAACAATTTTCATTTGGTTCAAGTCTTCTATACTACAGGAAAAAAGCAAGAAAAAACATAATTAACGTGAATGACTACTAGGTAACATAACACTCTATATGTATATATAGTTAATAACACTTAAACACTACATATGGAGCAGAAGTTAGATCGAATCTACGTGAATTAGGTAACAACCTAGTAAAACAATTTTAGCTAGTTTTTTGTCGTCCAAATTGACTAAAAATGTTCTATAGTAAAGAGATTTATTCCCTGTGACAGAAATATCTAAAATTCCCAACGCTATCCAACCGAACTAAATTTCAATTTTGATTACGTTTCAATTTCCATATGTCATTGTCATGAATAACAGCTAAACCAAATACTAATTAAGTAGTGATCAAGATTCAAGAAACAATATTGCTCATAACTCTTTACTGGTCACATACTGTCGAAGACAGATCGAGACCCATCCTTCAAAAGTCTAGACAATGATTTTCTATCGACAAGACATGCAAAAAATCCAAAAAAAACTCTAATAGTAACGAATAATACTAGATATATAATTAGATAAAAACAATTGACAACCATTTTCTCAGTTGCCAACCAAAGTGACATATCTTACCTTCCTCAGTTCCTGAGTCTTTGATTTTCCCCCGAAAGGTTTCTGACCTTTAAAAAGTTGGTATAAAGACATGCAATCAGTGAAGCAGACCCAATTCTGTATTATCATGACTTTTCACATTTCCGGGCGGTTTTTTTCATTTATACGTTTCCTTTCCTTCTTTACATCCAAAAATGAAAAGATTGATGCATACAAATGATCAAATTAAATAGAGTTTCCGAAAACTGTTTATCAGCTTTATATCCATCTATATTGGAGACTTTCTATGTGGCTCTAGAATTGTCAAACCTAATCTTGTTTACAGTATATATATGAATTGATTAAAAAATGGGTTCGTATAAGATTATAGATAAAGCATTCTTAGGTTGTGATATTAATTATATGTTTCACAAACGCAAGAGTCCTATATAAGAGTTACACAAACTGTTGTTATAATGTTATATTAGGATTAGGGCTACATATAGATCAAAAATTTAGATGGAGAACATTTGGAAAATAATGGGTGTAACCGGTTAAAAGTATAGAAGAAATGAAAAAAAAAAATAGAAGAAAAGAAATGTCACATTAGGAAGAAAAATAAATTTTACTAGTCTTGAGGAGAGAAGAATTTCTCTCAGACCCAATAAGTGTATATTCGAAGAAAGAGACAAAAAGGCCGCTGGTTTCACTCTTCTCTACACATACGTACCCACCGGAATTAGCCCTAATCCTAATATAGTAATATTCTTTTCTTTCATTTTCAAAATTTCGAGTCAAACTCTAATCTATAATTTGCAAGAACATGACCTTCTCTGCATGTTGCTCTAGTTGAAATAAACAAAGTTACAAAATCCTTTAGTTTTAACGGAACCATGTGTGAAGAATCACAACTAGAAGTAGTCAAGGTCAAGGATAATAGTTTTACTTTCTTTTCTCGAAGCTCACTACAAATAGCATAGATACATGCAACCACGACCATTCTTTCAGTTTTCACTAAACATCCAACTCATTAACTTTCTGCAAAATACCTTTATTTATTGGAAAACAAAGTTTGGATTTGATTGAGAAAAAAAAAAGATAAAACAATGAGCGCAAGGTAAAGGAGTGTAAAATGAGTAGATGTTAAGGGCCAAAAAGGAAAGTTAAAAAGTTCAAGATTGGATCGTTGGCTCCCAATGGGCCTCTCTTCGCTGTCTTTTCAAAGAATCTTCTCATCAATTTTTCTATCAACAGAAAAAATAATATAATTAAGTTTCTCTAATCTTTTTTTTTTTTTGTTGCAGTTAAGTTTGTCAATCTAATACATACTTCCTCCGTTTCGTTTTAGTTGTCGTTTAAAATTTTTTCACACAAATTAAGAAAGCATTAAATTTTCTGTTTTACCCTTTATGAATATATTTTATAAAAAAAATTTTGGCCAAAACATTAAAACAATAGGGATAAAACTGGAATTTTCACTAAACATTTGCATTGAAAACCTAAAACGACAACTATTATGAAACAAAATTTAAATCCTAAAACGACAACTAAACTGAAACAGAGGAAAAATATATTAACACGAATCCACTAAAACCGCAGTCCATATAACAAGTGGCGGTACAGTGTTCGTACATATATATAGAGAGGGCCTGTATATAATATCTTGTTGAACATGAAAGTTCCATTGCCAGATATCGTATATTTGTGGGGTTTAGGATGGAAACAAGGTCATTTTCATAAATACATTTAGGGTATTATCATAACTTTTTAGAAAGTAGTGTAAACAGGTAGCTGATAATCCCCATTTTTCCATCTCTAAGTGCATTTCCTTTACAAATAATTACAGCTTTACGTGTAACTGAAAATAGGTAGCTGATAATTCCACATCTACCAATTATTTGCCAAAAAACAATCAGACAAAAACCAATTGAAAAGTATCTGAAATGAACTTTGAATCCAAATCCCTTTCTTGTGATAGTCATTTAGTGATTGCGCTCAACACGTTTGTGTTGCACCGAAAATGAGGTTTGCTTTGTCACCGCAACCGACCGTAACTTGATATATTTGATTAACTTACCTTTAAAGGTTACATTGTATATTTGCATACAATAAATTTAAACAACTTTAAAAAATATTATTTTGACTGGTAAAGAATAGTTAAAGCCAGTTAAATTAAATATACTTTTTAACTCTTTAGTTATCCTTTTGACCACAATTATATCACATTGACGATATTAAATTGTTCCCGTATATGTTTGTTTGTTCCGCACCAACTAAAATTACTTAATCCGCCGCATATATTCGAATTTGTAGTTGTTATTTATTGTCTATGATATTTGTCATTGTTTATAAAAATATCATGCAATTCCTTATTGTAAAGGAAAATGTTATAGTCTACGGAATAAAATCATTCGTTTTTCTTCACATGCATCAACGTAGACATATTTATTGTGTTTAGTACTAAAAGGCATAGTTTTACCAATATACTATAGACCATGGAGATCGCGAGAGAGCGAGCAATAATGTAAACTACCTTTTTAAGTTGTAGCAATAATTTAGGGTTAGTTATATAAACAAATCTCAAAAGTACACAAAAATCCGTAAGAAAACAATCAACATTAATTAAAATAAATGTAAATGATTGTGTGTACCGTGGACTGTACTTTTTTACTGTATGGAGAAAGTGAAGACAAAAAAGAAAAAAAAGTTGGAACACAGGCGAAACAGATAAAATGGGCTAATAGTCCTTCCCTCACATGGCCTTGGTCGGATCGAATATTTTTATTTCGTATAATATTTGAATACTCAAAATTGTATCAAGTATATTAACGTATTAAATATATTATTGAACTCTTTTTTTTTGGTCGTCTGGTAGAATTATATTGAAAAGGCCATAAAATGGCAACCAACAGATACAGACACGAGGAACTAGAACCAAGAGGAGAACAAAAACTCCCAGGCCAACACAACCTATACTAAACCACCAATACCAACACATGGGGTTCTATACAAAAAATGCAGTTCACAAAAGAAATAGAAACCACGGAAGAACCTGCATTAACAAACAGGAGGGCAAAACCTTTCAGATTCAAAAATACTAGAAAGCCAAACAGGAGGACCCAAAGCAACATAAGATTGCAACCTCAGATCTCCTGTCACACTTTGAGCAATAAGATTTGCTCCCCTGTTTGTAGCCTTTGTTTCTAGAAACAACTTCCACTCCGGAATGGAACGCAAAAAACTCTTTAAAGCTCCCGCTTGAGCTTTAAAAGAAGGCCAGACCATCGGCCTAAGAACTGACTCCACCAAGCATTTCTCTTGACAAGCAAAAACCACTCTCACCACTTTGTGACTGGCCATGCTTTCAATTGCCCACAACAGAACTCTTAACCTTGCATCCTCAGCACTTCTAATACCAGAGAAAGCCCTACGGCTATGAAAAAGCACCACTCCCAACTCATCTCTTAAAACCCAAGCACCCCCTGCAATCTGATTTCTTTTGGACCAAGCAGAACCAACATTGCATTTGAACCAATTACACGGTGGTTTTTCCCAAACTTTCACTGTCACCAGATCACTTCTCTGAGCATCCCTAAGAACAGAATGATTAAGCACCGAAACACCATCGGTGTCAACACATTGAGCTTCGAACCATTCAGCAACATCAGCTCTGATTTTTTCAACCGATTCCAGGGCTGTGTAAATCCTCCCTTCATAAATGAAACAGTTCCTGTTTTTCCATATCCTCCAAATAATCCAAGGAAAACTTAATCTCAACTCAATAGGCCAATCCTTGTTATTTTTGTTGCTCAGCAAGTGAAAGATATTGGAGAAAACTGAACCACCAGAGAAACCAAGGTGTGGAGAGGGGTAATCTGAAAGAGCCCAAACCTGTCGAGATTGAGAACACAAAAATAGAGAGTGATTAATTGAGTCACCCTCCACACCACATACCTGACAGGTATCTTCTACACTCATTCCTCTGTTGTTCAGTGCTTGAGCCACAGGCAATGCTCCACTAAGCACTTTCCAAAGGAAAATCTTTATTTTTGGATCAGTTTGCAATTTCCACACTTCTTTTTTCAGTTCAAGCGTGGAAGGACAAACAGAAGCTTCTTTAATCAAATGAACACTCCTTTCTTGGTCAGCTAGCCA